TATTATTATTTATTTAAATTTTTTTTATTTATCAAAATAATTTGCATTCTTCAAAATATATGTCAGCTTCTTTTTAAAAATATGGTAACTAACATTACTGTAGATTAGTAAGTATATATGACTATTAAGGGCACTACATTTGCTACTAACTTCATACCTTCCCCCAAAACCTGAAAGTCACAGATAACAGATATGTAAGAACTTCTAAGCAATTTGTTATTTTCAAAACTGCAGTCCAATAGGTAAATTTTAGGACCAGAAGTAGTTTTAATTTATTAGAAGTCGTGTTGCTGTTGCACATAATATAAATAAGCTGTGGCCACCATCTTTATTACTATTTTTGGCTTAACCAACCTGTGAACCTAACAAGTGCCTTCATTATTATTATTATCTGCCTGCTGTGCCAGGTTATCCTGCCAGGCTAAGCATGAGAGCGAAGAGGAGAATGCTTTGGTCTTAGTATACTCTGGGTCTAATTTTAGGAATTACTGGTTCTGAGCATAACATCAGACATGATTTTAGGCAAAATTTTTCTTTGTTCTTGGATATGTTGAAAAATACAGAGAGAATTTTACAGCATTAACCAGAAAATCCAACTTAAGAGAGAACTATTTCCAAAAAATTACAATAAACTCAGTGCAAGTCTGCCATCCACTGACCAATTATTTTAATTACAAAACTGGCCTGGGGACATTGTGTGATATAATTTATTGACTGATATGCTGGGAATGATAATGTTTGTCCTGTCATAACAATCAAGTTGTATACAAAATATTGTTCTCTTATATAGCTATGTTAAATTTCTTGATCAAGTGATCCCAGCTACTCTGGATATAAATAATCAAAACCTTAATGAACTTTTGAATGAACCTTGAAGTACAGGGATGCTTGTCAGGGAAAACGACCTTTGTCCCCATACTGAAGAAATTAGAGCTTTCCTTAAATTCTCTGGGACCTAAACCAGGGAATAGTAACAAGTCTAAGCAGTTTTTTCCATGCAATTTTTAGCTCTCCTTGGAGTAACCAAAAACAGGTGCCACCAAGTCCTTGACATATCTGAACAGTTGATCTTTAAAACATTCACTTAGGAAAAGCTGTATTTTTGTAGCTTAAATAAGAAATAGGAAGTTCAGCTGAGCTTATTTATTTCTGATCAAAGTGAAGAGTTACTTGTGCCTTGCTAAGAAAATTAATTTTGGGCTGCCCAGATAAAGTCAATTTGGTGACTGCTATTTGAACCAGTGACTGCTGGCTAAGCAGACAGCAATTAGTTTAGGTGAGCTACCATGCAATACCTTCTTCAAGAGCAATCCATGAGAAATGTTGTCTGCTGTCAGAAAGGCTGATACAAGGTGTGTGATAGACCCAGCTTCTCCACAGTGAGGTCGAAACAGAAAAGTACACATGCCTCTTTCCCCGAGGAGATTAAAAGCAAGTTCGACTAACAAAAAATGCACTGTTCTTAATATATTTTGCATATAATTATCATTCATATGGGATTTTTTTTTTAAAGCTACACATTCTCATACAGTTTGATATGATGTCTAATCAGGCCTACCTGTGGGCTGCTGGCAAAAGGGGCAGGTCCTCTACCCAAGCCCCTTCCACCACCTGACATATTTGTGTCTTCTTCCTCCTTTCCTTCCCTAGTTACATCTCATTTAGCAATCATTTAGCTACTGGGGAACAGTTATTGAACTGATGTCAGTTGAAGGAACTGGCAGATGGAAAGCTAAGTGAACTGATGCAACCTGTGGCCACATAATTCCTAGATTCAAAATGAGCGAAGAAGTGGAAGCACATTGCCAAGAGTTAGCTAACACTACCTAGTGTGATGACAACCTGCCATCTCACCAGGTCAAGTGTAGCATAAAACCCACACCCTCAGTAGCACAGAGATGATCTAGGAGTGTTATTACACTAGACTTCACACTATAATTTCTAGAACTATTTTATTTTTATCATCTATATTAAAAATGATGCTGGGTTTTAAGTTATATTTGTTTATACAGTGCAGACAAATGTCCCATAAGTATTTGGAGATGTTCAAAGCAAAGAATTTCAACAAGGACTGCTGGAGCATAAAGCAGCTCTAGGATGGAGGTTTAGTAAAGTTTCTCCTGAAAATGGATGTGCGGATGTAATCCATCATTGCTGACTTCACTTATACTACCAGAAGTACAAAACAGTCTTTTAATGGACTGGCTGTGGTCCCTCAAATACTCAGTATGTTTAACAGAGTGAGCAGTTTTACTGACTCATTGATGAATTGTGTTGTCATCTCACCTAGCTGTAAGAATACTTAATGATTATCTAGGGAGATTTTCAAATAGTAGTTGAAATGATCTTTAGGTAAAAAAGAAATGTGTAAGTTCTGACAGAATCTCTGTCTTTGGAAAAGAAAAAAAAAACAACGTAGACTACAGAGAATATAAAGGAAGTCAAGACAAAGGGATGACTTATATCTGCTGTACTGTGTCCTTTCCATTTTTAGAACTGAAACTAAAAACTAGGCCTGTTTGTTGCAGGTACAAGGTAATTTAAGGTGCGTGGTTTTATTATGAATTTTGATTATACAGGGTGGGAGAGAAAGAAATACTTGAGGTAGTGGTAGAAGAGAAGAAATAACATTTTGAATGTTAACTTGAATAAGACCTGTTAAAATGAGAAATCTGTGCATCTCCTATAAGAAAATCCCAAAATAAATAGTAACAAACCAAATCCTTGCAAAGTGATGACACTATAATATCAATGGATAACCTCACTGTGCTTCAATATGAGTCAGTTGTGCAGATCACTCAGTGAGTCAGCCACAAAGTTAGGAACATAACCTCGAGTTGAATTTCAGGCTTTACTGAGCCTGATGCCAAAATCTGCTTTTACAGTCATGATGTCACATTCAGTGTCATAACTCCCTGCATTATGTGCCTAGACACCGTTCTCAAAAGTGGTAAAATCGAATGAGTCAACAAGCATGCTAAAGTAAGTTAGTTAGACGTGCAGTTTATAATTATGTCCTCCTTTGTCTGTCTTTGATAGCAGCAGCCCTTAAACCAATTATTTCACAACATAACTTTGGATCTCTTGAATTACCAGGAGATAGAAAGCTACCAAGAGGCATGTTATATTTGGAAATCCACTGTGAATCCAAGCAAAGGTCAACAAGTCAATTTTGTGGGGTTTCTTCTTTTGTTTTGTTTGATATATTCAGGTTTAAGGAATTTACAAAACAAAAATACACACAAATGTTACAATTTCTGAATATTTCATTTGAATTCATTTTGCAGTTAACATTTTCAAAATAACTCATGTACTCCTCTTGGAGTAACTGAAGATAACTTTTGCTTCAAAAGATATATGATCTAAACACAGACTCAGATTGAGACAAAGATTATTGATTTTTCTTACAGAAGCTTATAAAAAGGAAAAATTACTACTTACCTCCTAAGGTTGTTTAGCAACATGATGTTCACGTACATATAATACAAATAATAGCTATATGGGGGATTCTTCTCACTGGTCCAGAGGTCAGGGTTAAGGCTCTTGTCAGAGAACATATGGCCACTATGTTTGGATTCATCATCAACACTATCAAAGCCAGTCACCTGTTGGGAGAAGACATTCAGAGAAATCAGTGTTTTCAAGCAGCAAACTTCAATGTTACTTACTCTTGCTTCGGGACTTGCTTGTACAAAGCATCTACTCCTCTTTCCTCATTTCCCCCTTGTAATAGCAGTCCTGCTGCTCTGCCCTCCTACCATACCACGTGGACAGCAGGAATAATGCATTTTCTTGAAGGAAGCTTTACCTATTTTTTTCTTCTGAGACAAACTGGAGGCCTAGGTGCACAAAAGCCTTCAGACTCCTGGGGAGCGGGGTGTGCCTGTAAGACTCCCTCAGATCCAGATTATAATCCTTTAAACTCATCTGCTTTGTTCCTTGAAAAGCAGCTGAAGGCCAAAGGCTCTCAGGAAACCTCAAGAGTTCTGATTTGGGGCATACTCGGACATGTCTCTTTTAATCACGTCCCAGCAGCTACATCCCCACCTCTCTCCTGAGCCCCATCAGGATCTACACAATGCTTCCTTTCAGCTGCCTCCTTTTTGGAGGCCAGTCCCAGAGGCAAGATCAAAGTACACATCCTGGATTAGGATGTTCCCTCTGCACAAGAGCACGCGAACATTCTTTGGTCATTCTTTACAGAGAGGATCACTAAAATGACAAATAAACAGCTGTTGAGCTGTTTCAGAGGAAATAAATGGCAACTATTTGACAACAGGACCTTACCAAGGCTTTTATTAAATTGTATGTGAGGGCTTTAAAACAATAATACGAGTAATGTATAAAAGGAGAAAGCTGGTTTAGTGTCTGGAAATAGCTGTAGACAAACAAAATTTATGAGTAGGAGAGGATTGATTTCATGTGAGACAGAAAATCCCAAAATACTTACATATTTGAGAAAAAGGTGCAATTCTTTGTGGTCTTTGGGATTGATTGTTGCTTCAAACAAAGGTACAAAGATGTTCTCCAACATCTTCCCAAAACTAGGCAGAATATTTTTTGACCTAAATATGTCACTGAAAAGGAAAAAATATACACGGTTGTGACCATTCTTTAAAAAGCTTGTCTTTTTCCTCCACTTTCATATTTTCTGTTATTTGTGTATATTCTACAGTTTCAGTTCTACCCGGATTCAGAAATTCAAAGTTTATGTCAGGGCAGGGATTGTCTCTGTGCTCTATTTCCTGCACTGCCTGGCACTCTGCTTCATCCAGGCTCTGCTGAAGTTCCCGAGTGCTCCAAAAATAGAGACGGTATGCAGGGGTAGATGCTGTCTCAAGAACAGTGACCCTTTCCCTTACAGCAACCCAAGTACTAAGAGGAGAGATAAGGAGTTACCTCTTGTGAAAGATTCTGTTTTCCAAAGTTGTAACTACTCCAAATGAAAGTAGAATGTTCTGCCATAGTGAGCCTCTCAGAAAAGAGCGACAGTACTTCAGTGTGTCATTAAGTGCATGACTTAATGAAAGTGTTGACTCCACTGTGTACATAAGAAATGAGAGAAACTTTCTCCCTAATGAGAAACACACTCTGGGGGATATATGTGACCATGACAGCTCTTTCTCTACTCATATCCCAACTCTGCAATTTCAAAACATGAAGCTCAGTTATTAAGGCTGACAAAATTATCCTAAGAGTCTGTATTACAATATACAGTATGAGAAACAGCCATTTAATAAACTGCCAAAGGATGCTTAAAAACTAAGAAAAACCGATACGGATTTAAGCTTCCAAATCAGCAGTCTCAGTTGCATTTCCAAGTTCACTGTCATTTAGTCACTGATCTTGAGGAAGTTTGATGCTACCAAAGCATTTTCTACTCTTTTATGGAATTCAAGGGTTGATTTATTTTCATTACTAAATTGTATTTTAACTTACCTTTGAATGCAGTTTAGTTTCACCCAGTTGTAATTTGGGGGTTTAACATCTTCAGACTTACAAATAATTCACAGTAGTTTTGAATAGCTTCATAAAGAGTAGATTCCAACCCCACCTCCTGTCCTCCACCCCCAGGCTGTCAGGAAAACTGCAGCAATGGTCAAGAATAAATTTCCCAGGCTGTTGCTTATAAAATGAACTACAGGACAGCTCATAAACCATCTAAAAAATATCAGAAATTAAAACAAATCATTGGTATGATTTCAAACTATTAGAATTACCAAGGGCTCCTGATTACTTACTAGATTCTGGGAACCTGAATTATCCAGCGCATATTAGGGGAATAAACTTTATGTTTAATGAACCATTTTGCCAAGTTCAGCCATTCATCTGGAGAGCGTCCATAAATGGATAAGCGGGGTTCTGTATACTGGTATTTACTTTCTTCTAGTTCACGGGCTACTTCCTATTAAGTAATAAATATATTTGCTTTAATATGGACACTGAAGATCATTTACAGCTAGTAGTATATTTATTACTGTATTTTCCTCACACCAGACATAACATTGTATTGTCACCCTTTAAAGACAAGGAGAATCTCTTGTCTATTAATCCCTTATTTTTTTAGGCATCTAAATATTCTACTAGCATTCTATGTCAGATATCATTTGAGTATAACTAACTGTAACACCTAGATTTAGAGAACAATGTTCTTGTGCAGTTATTACTAACCTTTGTAAGACAAAAAAATTGGTAAATTGGTAATTTGCACTTAAAATTGGTAAATCAGAATGATACTATTTAATATGTAGTAAATGACTACATAAAATATGCAGACCGATGGAGACTCTGACCCGGAATCTGTGGTAGTAAGCAATTTTAAGGCTATTCATTTTGGACAAGGACTTCTATACATCAAATTCATGAAATCTACTGATTTTTTGTTGTAAGAAGTTAATTTGAAGCCTGTGCATGCAGGTGCAGATATAGATTTATGCAGAGGTGCTTTCCTAGCTGCCCCTTCTTTAGCAGCCACCACTAGCCAACTACATCCTAACAAAATATTCAGCCAGTGAACTGACCCTTGGCTGCTCTCCATTAGTTTAAAACTGCACACAACTCTGCTTTGAACTCATACACAGGTTACGCATCTGAGTTTCTAACTCAAAAAGGTACTTAGAAGCAGCAGTGGCTGACATAGCGGAGGTCTTTGATGAACTGCTAGAGCAAGCCCAATGCTTGGAGTCACTTAACCATAGTGTTAGCTCTAGATACAATTGCAACATCACAAATCTTTTACAAACCTTCATTTCTCAACAGCTGGAAAAGCTTGAAACTTACTTACCTTGACCATACGAGCAAAATATTCACCACCAATGTAGTTCTCAGTTTTCAAATACAAGTCCCTCAGCTCACTGGCACCAACTGGATTGTACTTAGAATTGAATTTGTCAAATCGATGAAATGTTTGACGACCCTGGAGGAGAAAAAAACCCAAATAACCATGGTTTTAAGTACACATAATAGTTTAATTTATAAACTAGCAATAAAATGCACAGAAAAGAAAAAGGCTATGCTAACTCACTTCAAACATGCAAAGTAATGCATGAGTCCAAATTCTGATTTGATAAGTTATGATGCAAAAAAACTGAATGTCACACTTGGAAAACTTAGCTTTTTCTCTTTTATTTTGTCATTTTAATAGACTTACTGCATGGACATCTAAAGAGTCTACAGTGAGGTCATAGGGGTCCATGTGAAGGCTTTCGAAAACTTGCTTTAAAGTCATCTTCTTGCCTTTTCTCTCTGCAACAATCCTGTCGGGCTCTGTTTGATACGTGTGCTTAATAAACCTCAACAAGTGTTTCTGGTTCATGCAAGCAGCAGCATGGATATGTGTATCAACCTGAAATCAAGAGAAGGTTATTCATGCTCATCATCCATATACATAAACTTAAATTAGCAAAGTATCTATGTCAGTGACAACAAGTCTTCTAAAATATTCCTTAAGTAACAAATGGATTAGTGCCTAAGCAAGTCAAAATGTTTCAGAACACTGAGATTTTGGGTTTGGAGGAATTATTCAATAAGCAGAACTATAAATAAAATAGCTCTTAATTAGTAGTTTCCTATTTAAATAAGAAAATGTTCAACAAGTTAAGATGCATTGTAAGTGCCAATCACAGAACCTGGGTTCAGATTAAATTTGATACTTCCTTAAAGGACACACTGATCCTTTAGTATCCTTTTATTTAATCCATGAATTGATGATGTCTTTCTAATTATAGACTGCTGTTATAACCATCATCTCTGACTGAAAGGACCTGGAATTCTCATCCATTTCCAAAAGCATAATTCATTTTTGTATTTCAACCACATGAAACATCTTAGGTCACTAGAACTACAAAATGTACACATGAAAGATTTTGTCACTATTTTTTCCAAGTTTATAATTAATTATAATACAGCAACTCATAATGCTGACAGATTTTTCAGTTTGTTCAGATCTCTTCACACACTAAGGGAAGTGCAAGCTTCACAGAAGGGCTGAGATTACCCCTTCCATTTCTTATGGAAGTCCCATTTTAAAAAAATATTGCCAAGAACCAAATGGTTTCCACAGGTATGCTTTTCTTTTGCTCAGAAGCTTGCACTGCTATTTGAGCAGCCTATATTGGAACATAATCCAAAGGAACAACTGATGAGATTTGGAAGTTGGTTTGTTGATTTAAGTTTTCCCTTCAGTATGTGCAATTCCTTAGGTGCATCCAGCAGGTATATAAAATGAGTCTGTTGCAGTTCCTTGCAGTCAAGGGTTTATCATCTTCACTACACAGATAAAGAATAGAAGAAGAGAAGGTATATTCCCCAACTTCTGCTTGTTTGAAAAGGCAGGTAATATTAATTGCAGTTCCTAAGGACTTGAAAGGGAAGAACAGTCCTTAGCTCAGATAACGGCTGTAAGGAATCTAACAGCACAGCAATACCCTGTGTGTGGTGCAGCAGAGCTGCTGCTCCAGGGTCCATTTGCTTTGAATTTCCTTGAGAAATTCTGATTGAACAACAAAACAGCCTAATGCATGTCCTAGGCAAAACTCTGCCTAGGACAATTTACTCTACCAACAAATTCCTATCAATTTAAAACCAAACCGAAACAAACCACTGTTCTGATTAGATTTCACAGTTGATACATAATGAGCACAACAGCCCTGGGGACAGCTTGACAGACTCTGAAGTTGCCTTTGAGTCCAGACTGTCAAATCCTAGCAGAAGCAGTTTCAGCTCACCCAGAAGCTACAGAGCTGCAGCCTGTCTCCTAAACTTCCCATTTTCCTCCAGCCCAGGCCCCACCTGGACATAGGTACCCATGAGCACAGGGATGTGGTTAGAAGCAATCACCAACTTGCACTGTTTCTAACACCTGCCTTGTGCACCAATTGCCTGGCACTGGAGACAAGTCTTACAAAACCAACTGGCAGAATGGTTCTGCAGGAGTAGGAAGCAAGACAGTTTGTAATACAAGTTTCAAGATGATATAAAACAGGGACAGGACAGTTTGCATTAAGTCGTCTGAAAAGCACCACACAGTACTGTCCTATATACTGGTAGGAGATAGTTTGGAATCATTGTAAGTAACACTTTACCATGAAGTCTTATGTGAAACTGCAGTGGAAAGGGCTCCTCTAACTCCTCATACAGAGTAAGAAAGGAGCTTCAAAGCAGAAGTAAAAAATAATCGTGCTTCTGCACAACAGTGGTAATGCAGCTGTCAGAATGCACTCGGTTTTGCTGTCTACATTAAAAGGTTTAAAAACCCAAACAAACAAAACCCAAAACCAAATATGGACAACATTCCCAAGAAATGTCACAAAAGGAAATAGAGGCTGGAAAACCCATGCTGCCATGTGATTGTAAAAATGAAACTTATTTGGCTTTTCAGGGTGCAATTTGAGAGTTGATTTGATCGACTGTATATAGGTATTTGTATATCCAAGAGATCGTGAGGCAGAGAGGGGGCTTTTCAAACTCACAAGCAGTGATGTAACAAGATCCTAAGCTAGGATGCTGACATTAGATACAAGTTCCTAAAGATACTTACTACATCAGAACAGTTTGAACCCACTGCACTGTGGTTTTTAATAAGCAAGTAACTAGCATGCCCAGGGACACACTCCCAACGAGAGCTGTGTAGTCTGTACGCAGGAAGTCACGCTAGAAGGAATTCTCAGATAAACCAGCTATAAGGAGTCACTGAGCCTACATCTCTGCAAGGACTCTCATCCAGGACTCTTCTGTCCAGGAAACTACAAATACGGACACGTTCAACCTGAGACCAGTGCGTTCCCCTTTGCATAGTGACTATGTTTGCAGCTTTCAGATTCTACCAACAGAAGTAGCTGACATTCTAATCTGCTTTTAAGGATCAGTAGGAAACAGATCACAGAGCACTTGAATGAATAAAAGCCATACTCCTGCAATGTAAACTTCAGCTTATGCTATGACACACAGTCCACAGAAATGCCACTGGTTTACCTGGCACATATAGTCATTTAATTTGCACTTTAAACATACAGAAGTTGTTGCAGCCTTATAAAAGTAAATCTATCTCCATGTGAATGTTAGTAGCATAACTAAAGACCAGGACATAAACTGAATCCTAAACATTAACATTTAATTGTTAATCATTGCCTAGTTCAAATAAGCTAGACACTTTAAAGCTAAATGAAAAAGCAAGAAACATAGTGCTGTCTCAAAGTACACAACATGCAGCACAGATTTTCCTTTTTTTTTTTTCTTCCTCCTCCCTCTCCCTAAATGTATTTATTTCCCAACTCTTTTTAAAGAGTTTCTTGGAGTCTCTTTAATGCTTCTTCCAGAGAATATGCAGTACTTTGGCTACCTTTTTTAACTACCCAGTATATTCTGGTAAGTGGCAACTTTAGTGACCACAAAAGTATTAGAGTATCACACAGATTTTTCTTCATTGTTTTTTTAGAAGCAATGTAACTCTGTGGAAGGTTTTAATGACTTGAGCTTTGACCTACCCTACCACATAATTAGTGTGCATGCTTTTCTACATTTTCACAATTCAGGGTGCAATCCTATCTAAATGAAACATCTAAACACAGAATCCTTAGACATAGCTTATATGGTCTGATTTGCTTAGGGATTTTTTTTTATTTGAAATGTTATCATGCTAAGAAATTGTTACTAATTTTGTTATTTATTATGAAAGGCATCTACTAAAAGAATTTGAACAGATGGAGTTCATATAAGGGTGACAAATGCCCCCTTTGCCTTCTCCCTACCCCTAAAACGACAAAACCTGTCCCATTTTAAGCCGTTATTATTTTGTTCTTCACACAATACATGAAGTAAGCTGAGGCTTTTCTGGGCCATGAGTAACAAACCCCGTACCACAAAGTCTATTTGCTTCTATTTGCGAACATTCTACTTGCATTTCCAAATTTGTGACAATGCCACTCCAGCCCAATTTCCCCTTAGTGGAAAAAAACCTCAGCTGCATGCCCTTAGCCAAATTTCCTGTTGCAGTTCTTATTCTCCCTTCCCCCCAGGAGGAAACCTTTTACTGAAGGTCACATTAATCTTCAATGAAAAGAATGTCTGACAGAAGCCTGTCTTGGAACACATAATATGCCTTCAGTGAACTCAGCTTTCTAACAAATGAAAACAATGGTTAACACAAAGTTTTTCTCAATTCTTTCAATTCCATCATCTCATTCAAGCAATGGTGGACATCAGTTTTCTTGCAATTAAAGGATGGTAGAATTCCCTTCACTCAGGAATTCTCCATGTAATGAAGCCAGCCTGTCTTCCTCTGCACCTTCTCAGTTCAGGCTAGCCCTTTCTTTTCCTGACCTGACCACCCATGCCATTCTGTCTGCAGGCTTTGTGCATGGAATGCGTACTTCTCAGTCCAAGCTGTAAGCTGTACACAGAGGTAACCACCTGAAGGAGTTCCCATTGCCCTCCAAATCACGTCTCACCAGCACCAACTGCCTCCCTCATCTTCCTGCATTGCTTCTCTTTCCTTCCACTGCCTCTCAAATCTCCACAAAACATCCATCTCCAGTCTATTTTATGGATGCTTCTCTGTGCATAACAGAAATAGGGTGTGGCAGAGAGAATTAGGCATATGCTCTAGATTCAGAGTGCTAAGTGATAAATACAGCAAAAACAAATGCCAAGGGCAGCCCGTTGAATGATACTGAACTTTTCCAGTGCGTAGATGAATAGTGTCCACAGCTGTGAACTACCTGATTTTCTAAACACATACACTTTAACTGGTAAATACTTATACCCCAATAGCTATGAGCTTCACGAATTTGACACAGACTCCTCTGCAGCCTTTACTTCAATGCTGGATTGAAGGGAAATCATTCCACATCCCACTGCAATACTCCCTGCTCACCAATATATCCATACTGTGTTAGCTTTTCAGATAGGATGCAACAGCTTTATACAATGAGCTTGATTCTCTCCTTGCAGCTCTGTGTTAGACATGAGAGGCACAAGACAAAATACTCTACCCTAGGGTAGCACAGTAATGCTCCTGGCAGCCAAAATCCTACCTAGAGCTGGGCATAGCCCCACAGAAGCTTGTCTAATTCATGCTTATGCCATCTAGAGCAACCCAGAAACCAGGAGATGCAAATCCCTGTGTCTCCAGCTTCTTGTTTGGCTCTACTCGTTGCAAAACGCACAGAATCAAGTCTTACAATGTTTGTATTCACACAAATACAGAAATAGACTGCTGCAAAAAGAAACAAATTTATTTTTCTGTTCTTTTAATTATGAAAAGCAAGGACAGAGGAAAAGCTTTATGGTCTCTACAGAACTTTTGCATTACAACGATTGATGGCTTTCCACCTGATCATTTTGTGCTCACTTGCAAGACTGAGGGTAGACACAAGAATTTTGCCTCAGCAGCTCTACAAGATAGGAGGGGAGAAGTAGTACACACAGTGCTTTGAAAATACAAAATACAACTTTACTGCCAGTTAATAGTGGTGAGGCACCATTACATGTCATGCTAACAGATGCGCACAAAGGCATTCTTGTCCTTTCAATCTGATACTAACCCATAAGTCTTCCCATTCACTATGACTTGTGGTTTATATGATGAAACTGAATTTCATCACTGACATCAGTAAGTAGCTACTGGGAGAGGAGAGGGAGAGGAAAAAAGAAGCAACCTTAGAGTGAATCAAAGCTCAGGGAAGTTAAGGTATAGATTCACCGTTCACTCACAAGGCTTTTAATCATATGTTTAAAAAGCAGACATCTGTTAATTTCATTTAGTATTTGGTGAGATCTACAGAATTTACAAGTATAAAAACCCACTCTTCCTTTCTTAGAAGTATCAAGTGGTATTTCAACCTTGTGGTCACAAACAGAAGCTAGAATTTACTTCCTTTTTGTCTAACCAATACTTTGGAGAAAAAAAAAAAAAAAGCAATCAGTTGCAAATGATCTAGACCAAATGGTATGTCACGGCAGCAACCAGCTATTGCAATATAGAATTCAGCAGGGCTGCGTAAGCCACTCTAGAAATTGCGTTCTTCCATGCACAGTTACCCTGGCCTAAGCCAAAGCTCTGCTACCACACGAGGCTCAGCATCTGAGCTAGTGAGTCTGTAGGCAGAAGAATATGATGTGTAAAAGTCACTGCTATGACATATCCTCAGGTTTGGTTTGCTGACACACTGAAATAATGGCTAAAGAGAGAAAGAATATGGAATGAGGTTTAGGCTGTCATTTTTTCATCTTATGAAAACTGCATTAAAGCTATTTGCAGTGAAGGACATCTACCAATGCTGTACATAGATCTACTTCATAAAGGTAGCAAATACATAGAATCACAGCATCATTTAGGTTGGAAAAGACCCTTAAGATCATTGAGTCCAACCATAAACCTAACACCGCCAAGTCCACCACTAAACCATGTCCCTAAGCGCCATGTCTACACTGCTTTTAAATACACGTTAAGTAAACAAGTATCTTGGCTTCACCTTTAAAAAAAATCAAAGGCAACAACCTCCCCCCTAGAAAGAACAATAGAGACAAACCAAAGGTCCTAGTAACAAGAACAACTCCACGAAAGCACAGTAAATGCCTCCTGCAATTAGCAACATTTTAATAAAAGTAAAATAATATTCAGATGTAGGTCCTTTACTTTGAAGGTGTATTTCAGCTAAAAAACCTGAACTATTGGCCCTGAATAATCTGAGGCTGTTGGGCACAGCAATCTATTTAAGCCCTGCTCAAAAAACCTCACATACTTGATTTGGAAGGCAGGACACTCTAGTACACAAAGACTAAAACTCAGTTCTGAGTTTGTGTGCTGTAGGGCTAAACTCTTAGTACTTAATTTCATCCTTAAGGCAGGCAACCCAGGAGTCACGTGCAGAATCTGTGTTGCTTGCACTTTGCTATGCATCAGCTGGAGATCGTGGGAGGGCCCTGCTGACGGGCTCAAGAGTCTTCTCTAAAGTTAGCGTTCTCCTACACAGACAGTTGTCCACCTCCTGTGGGGAGCCAGCCATACTGTCTTACCACCTGTGGATTCTTGTCTAGAGAAATATTTCTCTGGTTATTAAAGGGCAATTTTCCAGTTCCAGCTTGATCAGTGCAAAACGTATCTTTAGTTGCATTCTGGTTAAGTCCAATATGTAAGACATATACATACATTTCTCTTATTTAATAGGAGCATTATCTTGGGATTTATTAAATAGATGAACTCCCTGGAGGAGAACTCCTATTAAATCAGGAAAAAAAGGGGGAAAGGGGGCAGGAAGGGGAAGAAAACCCAGTAACCTTTGATTGTCATGCCAGTAAATAATGTTGGCCAAGTTTCTACTGTACCTTTCTAAGTGCAATAATACATGTTCACTGATTGACCTTGCCATTGCATTCATAACTGTTTTAATTTTGGCCTTTTCCATCAGTTACTTTGGCTCTTTTATAGAAGCAAACAGGTACCAGGATCTCTAACTAGTGTCTGAGGGATGTCATAGACAACTTCACTAACAGCTCTTTTAGGAGGTGAATCTTATTTTTTGCTTTCCTTATAAGAAGTACACACTGTTTAGGACTGACTAACAGAGAGACATCCTGAAAATACTGGCCCTAGAAGTGTCTGTTTCATATTGTAAGTTTCACTGCTGATACTGTTATTAGGGAGGAAGCACATCAGGGAAGTTACAGATTACTTGGGTTAACAAGACATAGAGAAAACAAGATTATTGTGGGGCTTACAGGAACTGTCTACAATGCAGTTTACTTTCCATAGAGAGAACTTCATAAAAATATTACTTGTAAGCTTGCTTCATAAAAATACTACTTTAAGCAAGATTAACTAATTTTTAAAGCAATGAGCAGCAGTAGGAATGGTCTCTGCCAGAGAAGAGCAAGCTTGTTCCCACTCTCTTGAATATGGGTATTGCCAGAGGGGAAGTGATGCACATTTTGTGCTTTTGAACAGCATGAATCTATTTGTATATTGACTTATTTAATAGTAGATAATTAGAAAATAATTAAAATATGCCCAGAGACATCGAACATTTGCTTTTAAATCAAAAGCTGAACTCAGCAAGTACAATCCTGTTAAGTACAGCTTCTCAGTAATCGAATTGATTGTCTAGGCAGTTACCTGATCTACACCTCTGTCCGTCACACCTCTCAGTCACCATGTGTTTTATTATTTACATCTCTGTCGGTTAGTGAAGTGTTTTATCTGAATGTGGCATGGAGTAAATATCTTGTCCAGGGTTATGCAAGAAAACTGTCAAGTTAGGAGTCGAGTCACTGCTGCTTGAGTCCTGCTTAAGTGAATTAGCTAACAGATCCTTCCATCCACGTGCTTAACTGATAAAAGTGTGAAATTCATTAAAATTTACCTAACAAGCCATCTGCCTTGTGATAGACAGGGGTGCATTCATCAAAAACTTTTGTTTAGTAGATTTTGTATTTGTCAGTTTATTACCACAACAGTAGCAAACATTCAGTAGCAAGCATACCGAACACCAGAGGAAAAAGACAAAAAGACTTTTTGATGTACTAGGAAACCAAAACCTAACAAGACAGATTATTGATCTAAACCCTGAAGTTACAAAATAAGGACTATCTCTTCCAGTTGCATATAGAAACAATGCAAAAGGGACATGAAGTGGTTAAAAACACCAGCAACAATTACTGCTTTGTGAAGAAATCTCACCTATCAAACGGAAGCATTATCTCTCCAGTAACTTTCTCTTAACTTCAGGAAAGGGAAGCAAATGAAGTAGCATAACACTGTTGCTACCATGCTTTGAGGAGAATGCAGCTACCTTTGGTGTATGTCAGGAAATGACATCAGCCCTTTGATTCCCCTACCTGTCTCCTAATTACATTCCAGTGTATCTCAGAGGCAGCTAAGAATGTAACTCCAATAACAATCTTTTTACTTAATATTTCATTGCCATTTTTTATCAGGTACTAATAGCAGCACGAACCCTCAGTTCACTTTCTGTGGGAGGTGTTTTTTCTCTTGACACGTATTTAAACATGTACTTTCAAAAGGAAATGAAATTTTTACACAAAATCTATACAGCTGTTCTACAGTCTAGTATGACATAGCTAAATGAAAGCAGGGGAATGTACTTGACTGTCTTTAGGTGAATTAATTAAACTGAATTAAACCTCCATGTGGATATTTTTATTTGTAATCCAAATGAGCTTCATTTGAATAACTGTTTCACTCCTTTAAAGCAATTTACATACAATTAAGCCCCTTTGATTCTGAATAAGAGATGAGTTTAGCATAATCCATTTAAACCACTTACATTCAAGTTAATTTTCCTGGAGTGTTCCCATGTAGAAAAGTTTCCATATTCTTAAAATAATGTAATTGCACACATCAATTCACACATCTACACCTCACACAAGAAAAGCAAAATTGCTGGAACTCCTACTAAAAACAACATCATGCCTTTAATCCTTTCCTCACTTACCTTTCTCACATTATAGAAGTCTCGATGGGGGTTACTCTTTAGTTCTTTAAATTCTGACATTTCATTTAACATCTCATGTAAACTAAATTTAGATTCTAAAAAGTTAAGCCTCCGATGACAGTATGTTTTTCTGTAAAAGAAAACACAAAAGTTAACTGTAACTTAAAGCTATTTGTATTTCAAGTTCAGACAGAACTTGAAAGTTTTCACAGTAAAAACAATTTTTTTTTATGAAGACCAAGACAAATCCATTCTTATCCTACTAGTTAACAAATATATAAGTCAATATCCAACATGATTTCAGACCAAAGTTATTAGTGAAACCTCAAACAGAACTCTACATAATCATGTTATGTCCATTAAGTTGTCCAAGTGTTATCACTGCATCTGTGCATAAACTGCAGTTCTTTTAGTAAAGATGACCAGAGAAAGCATAAAACCTATAATAAAATGTGATGTCAGTTGCTACTACTCTGAAACTATATATCCAATGAGCGGATCGCATTATGAGTAACAGAAACAAAGTGTAATCCAGACTTACTCACTATGAAAATAATCTTTAAAAAAATTCCCCAAAGTTTGTTTGGTTTTTCAATGTGAATATAAAAAGCCAAGATAAGATCCAATATACTTCCATTTTTGATGCCTTAAAAACATATATATTGCATAGAAATACTTTTTCCCAAAAATAATTTCTTGTGCTCTTCTTGGAAAAATCATGCTTTTTTGTTCCTGCTTGCCTACTCCTGTCTTCACTTTCATCTTCTGTTATGTTTCTAATTCTATTTTTAACCAATGACATGGTAATTCTCTTCACCATCTGTCACTTATTGAATCTACAATATTTTTATAGCACTATTAATGTAATAGTCAGCCTTCTTTTTTCTGCTTTATTGTTGTCAATCTCTCCTCAAAGGAACAAAAATCCCATAATGGATTTGTAAGTCTGATTCAAACACAGTCTCACCGTATCTGATACTGATCAGGACCCATTTGTCTGCAGCACGAAGTCTTTGTTGGGTTATGCTATTATTCAGAAGACTGAGGAGTAGGGGTGAGATTTCACCAGCTTAAGAGCAGCAAAGATTAAAGAACAATGGTTTCCTGATCTCCAAGCAGCCCCATGTGTGACAGACATGTATGAGAGGAAAGCACTTGCTGCAAACAAGGAAACACAATACTGTATGAAGACCTTGTGCAACAGGATTACTGAAGACTTTTTCCTTTTTGCTTTTGTGTATTTATCAGGGAGTGTGAATCAGCCTGCAAAAGCTTAATCTGAATTGAAACAAGCAGATGATTGCTCCTATGTTCACAAAGGTGCTGAGTGTTCTAACACGTCCTACCAAGGCTCTTCTTACTTGTGGTTAACAGTCTTGATCAAGAAACAAAAGTTGCAAAAGGAAGGGTCTTCAGTAGGACTTGTGTTTCAAGTTTTTCTTCTTGTCCTTTAGTCTTCCCACTATCTGTCTCTTGGAATATAACACACCAAAACTGAAAATGCATTTACCTGTTGCAAACTGTAAACAAGCACACCCAAGCTAGCTTTGATTTGGAGCAGGAGTGCTGATAATGCTGGCAGAAGCATAGGCTTTTGCTCATGAAAAAGTGCTTAGGGAATGGGATGGTTCTGTTCAGCCCATCTGCTTTGGCATTATCACTGCACAAGGCAGACAGGTAATGCTGCAGGTGTCACACACAGGGTCAAAGGGAAAAGAATGCATCAGGTGTCACTAACTTGTCACATTCTAAGTGCTGATCTCTCAAAGGCAAAAGGACTAAGGAATGCAGTGCTGACAGGCAGGGCAAATAGTTCAGAACAACAGTCCAGGTTCCCGCTTTGTTCCATCTTAGGTGGATTCTTTTCCTTTCCTAGTGTTAGGGCCATGAGAAACCTTGATGTTTCCAGTCCTCAGCTGGGAAGTAAACTTAAAAACTGGATGCACATGTTTTCATTTTGCACTGGGCAAGGACATTGCTTTGTCATGAGTGTGTCAGTGACTGTACTAGAGTTGTTGTATTTCTGGGTTTTAGAGATTTCCCAGGAGTTTGATGGTTCTGGAAAATTTCAGACCTATTTCAATTATGCATGCATGAATGAGTTTTGCAGCACATGAGCAGCTAATTCACATCTGTAACAAATCAGACTGAAGATTTATACTGCTGAGCTGTTCTGTATGCTCTATATATGCAGGGTTTCTCTTCATGCAGCAAGAGTAGAGCAGACATGAAGGAATTCCAGGCAACTGTTCAAAACCCTCAAATTCACCTTTATTTTGTTTTGGCCTATGCTGAGGTTCAAGTTTCAGTTCCTATACCTCAAGAAGTTTAGGTCAGATTTGACTTGCATGGGAACATTTGGCCAATTTCTTGCTTTTCTGTTAACTGCTTTTCATTTTGCCATGGTTGATGCAAAGAAACTAAAGAAATGAAATATAGCTGTATGTGGTTGTTTGGGGTGGTTTTTTTCCTTTTAAGTCTATCCATGATGCATTAATGCATGAGAAGGGCAAAACAAAACATTACTGTTGAATGAGTACGTTGAGGAATTAAATATCACAAAAGTGAGAAGTATTAAACTAAAATTAACCAGCAGCCTGAAAGGGCAAAGAAGAAAGAGAAACATACGTTGGACCATCTGCAATTAGAGCAAGAACATGGCTCAGGTCCAGGGTATAGGTCTCCAGGTCGGGATATGGCAGACTCCGAGGCTCATTGAGTTCCATCATTTCTTTGTTATCATAAACAAAGGGAATGCCACCTTTTATCTTGATAACATAATCCAAATTGTCTGGACTATCATCAAGATTGTAAGGATCTTCATTTTCTTCTGGGGGTGAATGGAAATCTGAAAATGTAAATTCACATTTAGAAGAAATAACTTACACAAAAGGCAAAATAATTACAAAAAGGACTTTCTGCTTCTCTAATGCTTATTTCTAACAGATCTTAATACTTTCATTAAAATCACATTTTCAGTTACTATAAAAGATCTGTTGTTACAACATAGATTTATACTGACAGGCTTTAATTGCAGTCCTTCTCTAAGCTAAGTGCCTATCTTAATTCAAAGATTATACATTATTAGAGTTCTCTGAACCAATGTATTATAGATTTAATACTATTCTTTATAAATGTATGATGGCATACAAAATAATTCAAAATAATTTTTCAGAAGTATTTAAATTAGGATGGTTGAAAGTACAGTTGAGATTTTTGAACAATAGAAGAGTTGTTGACTTCATACCCACTTTCATTATTTTCTTTTCACCTTCTGACTCACTGTAGTAATTTTGGAAGTTTGTATTTAAGCACACAGTAATGCAGCTGTTCTCATATTAAAACATCAGTCAGAAAAGAACAGGCTGTACCATACTTCACCGCTGTCCTTCCCACAATCCAATGAGCTAGACTAGTGCATACATACTAGGACTGTTTCCTCTTTCTCTCAACCATTAGTAAATATACTTCACTCATGGTAGAGCAGGAAATAACTTAAGACTCAGTCTGTCTCACTCTGACCAAGGCAGTGGTTAGTTTGTAGGTTTGGGGGTGGGGTTGGGTTGTTTTGTTTGTGAGGTTTTTTTGTTTGTATATGTTTTGGTGTTTGGGTTTTTTTATTAAAACTCCTTATTTTTATGTTTAAGTGTTTTTTAATAGAACCAAGAAGTGCAGAAGCCAGAGATAGTACAACACAACTCTAGTCTTCCCCTTGGCCTTTTGATCATGACCAAAATCAGCAAGTACTAGAAGCAGGGCTGGGACTTGCTCAGTATGGTTTTGTAATCTCTTTACAAAATTATTTATTTTTCTGAAAATCAAACACACATACTTTGGGAGATTCAGCTTATGTTCATCACTTCTTTCACAATATCCTACTAATGCAACTAGTATAAGTGTCTCAACTACATTTATGTCAACTGAACTACATTCCTGGGCTCATTTTGTCATTGAGAATTCTTCTTTTACCTGTTCAGTTAAGCCAAGACAGAAAAGTAATTAACTAGTCCTTTTATTCACCTAGGGCACCTGAATGTATGTTATTAACTGATACCATTCTTATCTCTAATATTCATAACTATCCAGTTCAAGCTTGTGCTAATTAAGACATTGTGTAACGAGATTTTATTATGGTATAAGTTTAAAACCATAACTGTAAAAAAGTTATTAACCTAATAATAGCTTGGAAATTTCTCCCTGGCAGCTGTTCCAACATATCTTTCCTGTCTTGTATATTCAGTATACTGTCCTCTTTTCACTCCTTCTGTAGAGCAAACGCTTGAAAACATGTTAATTCACTCTCTTCCAACCACTGAGCTAGAAGGTAATTGATTTAAAATGTCACTTAATGGGTGAGAATACATGGCCAACAATATGGACACATCGACAGTGGCACATCTGTACAGACCAAAGGTTGCTCCTCATAGGCTGATCCAAAAACTAGCAGTGCAAACATTTTAATGCACAAGCAAAGCTTTCAAGACACAACCCACCTAAGCGACAAATATCATTTGTGACATACATAGTGGGGAATATGTTCAACCTCATAAGCTTTGTTGAGAGATCAGAGTTTATTAACCCAGGCAGAATATCCAACAAATATGACTATACAGCTTCCAGTCTTGACCTGGTAGGCGTGCCATGCCTGTGAACCTACAGGCTTGCTAACTGGCATGTCTGTATCATGCTTCAATTTACAGTGTAGATGAGCTCATAATCTCTTTTATTTCAGCATGCCAAGATCAGGAGGAATTACTTTTCACTTTAAACCATAACCATATATCTTTTTCCTGGAGGAACAGAAGTGTACTACCTACCATCCCATTTGTTGTGGGGAGAGGGAAATCAATGAACATCTAATATGGTTTTTTAGCTTTTGACAGCTTAAAAGTTTCAGATTAGACACAGGATTTATAACTTAGGTCTGTCAGTGATTCTTCACTGCTTACTAACAGAATAAATTACAGGCAAAGACACTCAGATCATCAAAAAAATCCAACTTACCTTTACTACAGCAGTGCATTTTTAAAATTTATTTTAAAATATATTTTAATATATTTT